CAACCCCTTTGCCTTTCAGAGGCCTTAAGCTGCCACCCCGAAGCCCCTGAGACCCCACCGCGGCACGAAGAACCTAGGGTTTAGGGTTTCGGGTTTAGGGCTCAGGGTTTAGGTTTAGGGTACCTTTAACTGCAACCCACTGAAGCCCTTGAGACCCCACCGTGGCCCTACGAAACTCTTCCCGGATTACCATCTTAGTCTATAGTTTCATTGTCCCTGAATACGGTTCCTTACCTTCTTTAAAGGGGGCTTAGGGTTTCGGGTTTAGTTTAGTGTTTAGTGTTTAGGGTTTAGGGTTTAGGGTTTAGGGTTTAGGGTTTAGGGCACCTTTAACTGCAACCCACTGAAGCCCCTAAGACCCCACCGTGGCCCTAAGAACCTCTTCCCAGAATTACCATCTTGGTCTAGTTACATGGTCCCTGAATACAGTCCCTTACCTTCTTTAAAAGGGGTTTAGGGTTTAGGGTTTAGGGTTTAGGGTTTAGGGTTCTGAAGTAGATGTAGCTGCCCTAAGATACCAATAATCCAGAGCAGTCGTTGCAACTTTAGCACTTTCAGGGCCGCAGCCAGGATCTATAGGGTTTGGGGTTTAGGGTTTGGGTTTAGGGTAAAAACCCTAAAGCCCTAAAGCTCCAAAGCCCTTAAGCTATAAAACTCTAAAACCCTAAACCCTAATACCCCCAAAACCCTAAAACCCGAAAGCCCTAAACCCTAACCCCTCAACCCCAAAAAGCCCTGACGCCCAGAAGCCGATCAACAGGATGTTATGGGGGTTAGGGTTTCGGGTTGTTTCGGGACGAACCCTAAACCCGAATCCCTATACCCTAAACCCTTAGTGGTTCTTGTGGCCGGCTTAGGCCCACGTCATCGCTGCAAGGTACGGAACAACCCTGACACCAAAAATGCGCCACAGAAAGCTGCTTTAAAGCGTAGACAGCCCTCAGTACCCTATTCAAAAGAAGGTGCTTTGACACGAAACCCTAAAACCCGAAAACCCACCAAAGCCCTAAAACCCTAAACTAGACAGCCCTCAGTTTTAAGGGTTATACCTACTAAATAGGGGGTTCTTCCTACTAATCTGTAGGCCAATAGGGTCCCAGGTACCCCAACCCTCAACCCTAAACCCCAATACCTGAACCCAAAAAACACTAAACCCTGAACCCTAAACCCTATCCCTGAACCCTAAACCCTAGACCCTAAACCCTA